TCACCTTCCTCTATGCTTATTATTCTTAGGTTTGGCCTTTTCATGGTGTCCCACATTTCCTGGATGTTTTGTGTTAAGGATTTGTTGGATTTATGATTTTCTTTGGTCGATGAATCTATTTCTTCTAGTTTATCTTCTGTGCCTGAGATTCTCTCTTCCATCTCTTGAATTCTGCTGGTTATGCTTGTGTCTGTAGTTGCCGATGTTTTGCCCAGTTTTTTCTATTTCCAGCATTCCTTCAGTTTGTGTTGCCTTTATTTTCTCTATTTCAGTTTTCAAGTCTTGAACTGTTTCCTTCACCTGCTTAATTGTTTTTTCTTGGCTTTCTGTACTTTCCTTAAGGAATTTCTTCATTTCTTCCACTTTTTTTGTTTGTTTTTTTCTTCCATTTCTTTAAGGGATTTTCTCACATCTTCTTTGAGGGCCTCTATCATTTTTATGATGGTAATTTTTAAGTCGTTCCCTTCTGCTTCCTCTGCTTTGTTGTTGTGTTCCATTCTAGTTGGTGTAGATTCCCTAGATTCTGGTGGTGTCATGCTTGTCTTTCTGTTGTTAGGTGTTTTCTTGTATTGCCTTCTTCCCATAGCTCCTTCCAGTAGGTGTTGGTGGGGTCTCCCCTTCTCTCTATGGTACTTCCCCAGTGGGCTTATGTGGGTCTGAGATTCAATATCTGTAGCTCTGTGTAGTCCAAGCTCTCTAGGAGGTTTCTCCACAGACAGGGACCCAGGGATGGGGTTAAGGATGAGGATCCAGTAGAAGATGCCAGCAAGTACTCACAGTGGTCCCGCAGAGATAGACAAATCTCTGGGAGGGGCCTGGGACTCCAGCAGAGGATTGGAGGTGGGGTCAGAGACCAAGCAGGTGGAAATTATGGGTGGACCCGTGTGGATAGTCAGGTCTCCTTTGTTCAGAGTTGCTCTGAGAAGTCTCCGAAGTAGGGTGGACTGTTGGCTCCACCCTCTGTCCCAGTGCTCAACCAGAGCAGCAGGACCGTGGGTGGGGTAGGGCACAGGGTAGGGGTGTAGGCTCGCGGTGGAGATGGGTGGGTGTGTATCAGAGCTCCAACGGTGCTCTCGATGGGGACAGGAGACAGGAGCAGCAGGATCAGGGTCCAACCCAGGGAGTTCCGGCGGGGGGGGGGGGCGGGAAGTGGTTGTAGAGGACAGGCAGCCCCGATTGGGCCCAGACTCACCTCTGGCCAATAGCTGGTGGAAGAGGACAAGCACTGAGCTGGAACTTGGGAAGGTTTTGCAGGATAGTCGGATCTCACTGGAAACTGGCTAAGTAATTTTTTATTAAGGGTTTGCTTTATGCAAAGCTTTGTTTTCACACAAAATGCAAATTCCATTAAATTCACAAGTTTTGCTGTGCTGTGAAATGCTTTAAGTGACTTAAAGTGGACTGCTTATGCCATGCCATTTTGCAAGTGTCTCAGCAAGTATCTCAGTGTTCATCAGTATGCTCCCCAATTTGCTTCAGCATCTAAAAAGCTTCCCACCACATTGCTTTGGTCACAGACTTATGATGACCACTACACACTCTGGCCTTGTGGCTTACATAATCCGGGACATCATGTGTTACTGTCATTTGTGGTTTGCATTATGCTCTTGGAGATCCCCATCATATTTTAATTTTTTGACAAGTTGAGAATGTTTAGCTAATGTCCTAAGACCATTAGTATGACAAATATTTCTGGATTGAGACTAGTAAACTTGAATAAGCAACATAGCAGCTGTGACCATTAATTTTCATTGTGAACTTGATTGGATCTGGAATCAACTGTGTGTGTCTGTGAGGGTGATTTCAGAAAGATTTACCTGAGACAGGCAGACCTATCCCAAATGCTGGTAGTATCATCCCATGGGCTGACTCCCAAACTGAATAAGTATGAGTAAAGGAACAGGGCACCAGCATTCATCTCTCTGTGCTTCCCGGCTGTAGACTTGATATGACCAACTGTCTCATGCTCCTGCCACCATGACTTTCCCAGCACAATGGACTGTACCTTCCAAACCATGAGTCAAAATACACCTTGCTTCCTTAAATTGCTTTTGGGAAGGCATTTTTTGGGTCACATAAATGTAGGGCCAAGTCAGGCAGAAGTTAATTTGGCCCCAGTCTCATGGCATCCTGTGATATTACCCTGTAAATGGTAGTTAGGGAGCCAGAGCCACTTTTAACCAAAATACAGTTAGTCCAAGGATTAAATTTAAGGCAAAAAGTTTTCAAAGGCCCCCAAATTTGTATGATTTGTCCAGAGTCATCCTTCTATCAGATAAGGGCATTGATTTGTAAAGTGTATAGTATTGTTCATTTTTTTCCCCCTACTGATAACTCAAATGGAATGAGGAAGTTGAAGTTCAGTGAAGTTGTTCCACCTCGAAATGTGATTAGGTGGTGGAGCTTATCCTTAAATTTATGTCTTTTCTCCTCATTGGTTACTTGACCTCTCTCTGTTTTGTAAACCTATCAGGAATGAGCTGAGTGCTGGAGTTCAGTGGTTTAAAGCACTTGTTCTTGCAGAGGACCCAGGTTCAGTTTCTAGTGTCCACATGGCAGTTAACTATCTTTAACTCCAATTTCAGGGTATCCAACACCCTTTTCTGGCCTCCTTGGGCACCACGCATGCATGAGCTACACATACATACATGCAAGTAAAAGATTCATAAAATAAAATCTAAAAATCCACTTTAAAAAATGGTTGAGTAGAGTGACTCATTTACCTCTGTGTTGTTGAAACACTTGGATTATCTTCTGTCTTAGTCGTGGGGGAGGGGGTAGAGCTTCACCAAACACCTTTGAAGAGTGTGTGGTAGGAGAATGGGATTGAAATGACAAGACAAGGAATTGGATGCCAAGTACATTTGATAAAACCTAGCTGTTTGTGAACCCTTTCAGAAATTTGATTTAAAAAAAAAAAATAGAAGGGATAAGTCATCAGCACTGTGGGTGGGCACAGAGGGAAAAATGCAAGCATTCACCAAGAAAGGAGTGACTAGTCCAATAACAGGAAGTGTCAGAGCAAGGACAGTAACAGCAAAATCACACTACTTCTGAAATCCAGGGGGAAAACCCTAAGTAAACCATCTGGATTTCTTGCTTTCACCTACCTGCTTTTAGGTGACTGTAAAACTCACTCATTCTGGAGGCTATACAGCCCAGTATGTTATTATTCCCCCTCTAAGTCTGCTGTATATGACACTTCTGACCTGTGAGTTTTGGTGGTAACAGTTGCCTAGTGCACTTCACAGGGATTTAAAGGCTGCTTGGTTATGTTGTACCATCCAAGTAGTCCCTTGGGCCTGTGCAGAAGTCTGATGTGTGTGACCTTTTGATGTGTGAGGTGTATATAAAAACTCCACCCACGTATCTTGTTAATATCACAGGTCTTGCTAATATTGTTGTTTTATGAACAAGTGTTCCATGGAGAGCCATGAAGATTAATTATATATTCATAGAGCATCGATGTGTCTCCTCTAATCATCTTCCAGCCTACTGCTTTATCCCATAAATACCCTGTGTTCTCTCCTCTGGAAGGCAGGTTTGAGATTTAGGTCTCACCCTATTACATTTCACTGCAACTTTGTGATTACACTCTTTCTCATTTTGCAAAATCCATTGATTTGGGATGAACAGATGCTTTATAGAACTGCTCTGGGAACTGTCTCACTGCTAGGTACAAGATAGATGTATGTATGGATGGATGGATGGATGGAAAAAGAAAGGAAAGAAGGAATGAAAGGGGAGGGGAGGGAAGAAAGAAGGAAGGAGGGAAACAAAATATTCAGGGACTAGAAATAAAGCCAGAAAATATTGAAAGGCCCCAATCTCCAAGCTTCAGACAACTTAAATAAACAAAGGAAGAACCCAGGAACTGCTTAGCAAATTTAAAGAGGAAGGCAGTGATTTAGGCCAGGATCCAACAATATCACCACAGTGTTATATTTCTTTATCATCATCTTTCTCTTTGTGATTGTCCTGCTCCAGGGTGGTCTGACCTGAGTGAGAAACTTGGATAACATATTTATAATCATGAAATTCTCCAATCCTAAAAGGGTTATGGAAGGTGGAAACACAGATTTGAACACAACTGTTTTCACAATTGTGTGGTGACTGCTGGAATTGAATGTGTGTGTGTTTGTCTCTGTCTTATCAATGCATCAATGCACAGTACTCAGACAATCAATTTGTTAAGTTGTTTGATAAGTAATACTGCTGGTGCTATTTAATTCCCTGTGATGGGCCAAAATTTCAGTAAAGTCTGTGCCACCAGGAAATTATGTGTATGGGCACTTTAGGCCCAGAAAAAAAAAGGCCTCGTGCTCCCTTCCTGGGCAGCCATGGGAACAAAGAGAAGAATCATGCTGCTGCCCAAGCTGACATGTGGATGAGACATGCAGATGAGTGCATGCAGAAATACTTGGAGGCACAGGCTTTCAGAGCAATCACAAACACTCAAGAATGTGAAAAACAGGGACTGGAGAAAGGTTCAGCAGTTAATAGCATTGACTGTTTTTCCAGAGCACCTGGGTTCCGTTCCCAGCACCCACATGGTGGCTCACAAGCACATATAACTCCAATCCTAGGGGATCTGGTGCTTTTTTTGGCCTTCAAGGGTAGAACTGCACATAGTGCAAAATCATACATATAAGAGAGAGAGAGAGAGAGAGAGTGTGTGTGTGTGTGTGTGTGTGTGTGTGTGTGTGTGTGTGTGTCCATAATCCCAGGTAATGTTGGCATTGTTAGGCTCCTCTTCATGATAGGATGATGGTCAAGTTCAATGTATTGGCACAATACAGGGGGATTCCCAGCATTCCTGTGTCACCTTTGTTTAGAATGACAAACCTGCTGAGAGCTCAGCCTTGGCTTCCCAAATCTGAGATATAGTTTTAGTCTAATTGTATGTTCCAGAAACCTCCCATTTCTAGATTTCTTTTTGTCTTGAAAATATTTCCCATTAGCAAGAAATGTAGAGGAATAGCACAGCAAACAACACCAAGTTCTATGGCTTGAATAATGATGTTTATTTCCTTTAAATACATTTAAATACGAAACATCAGGCAGTGGTTCAGTAAACTTGAAAAGTACAAGCTGAACAAGAATTACATCAGTGCTGATCATACAAATGAAGTTCCGTAATTCATAAGCATTGCACTCGGAGTTTGCCAGTCTGAGTACTCAATCACATGGCACCTGCTGCTCCATGGCAAGCAACCCTTTCTCATTCGTCACAACAATGTGCTCCCCAGACCCCTTCCTCTCTAAGAACTGATGTGCAGAGGCATCTGAAGCTAGAAGTAATTGTCAGTGAACGAGGGATTCACCCAGCAGCTATTGAGTGGAAATGTGGATTCACTAGGTAAGATCAATTTTTCAAACAGCTGAGGGGTGGGCAACAGTAATAGCAACTTGACAAAGCAGCACACTGTTTAAAATGACAGGGAAGGGGAACTTGAGAGAAAGTTGAATCAAGGACTTTCTTGACTGTGAAGCCCCTGGCCCCTTCTCTCCTTTGGAAAGCGGCAGTGCTTTCCATAGACTGGCTGTCTATTTGCACATGTTCTGGTGTGAAAAGGACATCTGTCCTCACAGCTGTCGAAAAAGAAAGTGAAATTGAGGCTTTAGAAGCGAGGATCAACTTCAAATCAATCATTCAGTTCTGATTTCATTTGATTCTGCTTTCAAAGAAAAATGTCCAGACATGTATTTAAAGTATCAATGCAATATTCTAAATGGGCACTCAACTGGCTGAGGGCCCAGCCCTAAGCAAGATGTTGATACCACCTCCTTTAAATCTCAGGGAACATAGCGGAAGAGGGGCTGGGAAATGTCAGAAAGAGAGAAGCGTTGGGAAATACCATCTTCTAGGCATGATGCTGCTGTGAGAATCTGCTTGTCCTAGGCCTACACAAGGTGGAACTTCTCAACAGACACATATGCTGTTGTGAGGGACTTATGCCTCTGTAATGAACTGTGGGCTATTGATAGAATCTGGACACAGGGAGTCACTGTCTTCAGTTGTGGACCTAGTGGTCCATGAGTGGAACAAGCTCTGACAGATAGTTCCAAATCTGTGGTCACACAGATGGTCCTGACTGCCTTTAGTGGGTCACAAAACAAAACAAAACAAAAAATAATAATAACCTGAGTGTGGGAAAGGGACTTGTAGGGAGTAAATGGGTTGAAAAGAGTAGGCTGGAGTTAAGAAAGTGTTCAGGTGAAAGTAATTAGAATGCATTTTATATGTGCATGAAATTGTAAAAGAACAAACTGAATTATTTTTTTTTTAAATCTCAGTGGTTAGTTTGGGTAAGTTTAGAAAATGATCAAAGCCTAGTCATCGGCCCCCAAGGATTATAGTCATCTAGAAATTTCTTGCCTACACAAACACACACACACACACACACACACACACACACACACACACACACACGCACGAGAGAGAGAGAGAGTGAGAGAGAGAGAGAGGAGAGAGAGAGAGGAGAGAGAGAGAGGAGAGAGAGAGAGAGAATTAGCTTGCTGATCTGAACCTCCCTTAATCTGGTTGTTTAAATATCAGTGACTTCTTTTTTGATATGATAGCATAATAGCAGGCATGGTGGTGCAAGTCATGAGATCCTGTTTTGAAACAACAACAAAAGAATTAATCATCACTCTATATACTTCCAATTATTTCCTAGATGCCAAACGTCTGCTTATTTTTTTAAGGGGGTACTTGGGAAATAAGGAAAAGGAGCCCCCACAAAATCAGTTTGGTATGCCCTTTAAATGTCACCAGTTAACCAACTTAAGGGGTAAGGGAAAAGACCATTGACCTGCAGGTGTCTGGGTGAAAAATCTTGTGCTTCTGGCAGCAGCTCTCCAGACTTTCTTTGCATTCAAAGCAACTGCAGTTTTCTGGGTGCTGAATGAGATCTCCAGGACATGATGTTTTACAGACACACTCACAACGCTCCTCATCAAACTTCATGTGTGGTCCACAGAAAGCTGCTTCCTGGAGGTAAGAGTGATCTAAACAGAAACAGGAAAGTGTTGGTTTGGCAGGTGAAGCCTAGAGGATGTGATGATCCACATTAATTGCAAGTTCTATATTTTACCAATAAAACTTGGATCCTCCCAATTTCCTTGCCTACAGATTTTTGATCTTAATTTTTTTCATAGGGTGAATGAGATCTATTTGCCATTTTACATCATAAACATAGAACTCATGTGTTTTCTTAGGTGTTTAATTAAAAAAAATACCATAAGCTGAATATTTCTGACAGATTTTTTTTATGTTGTTGACTGACCTGTTAAAAATATATACATCTGTGCCGGAAAGATGGCTTAGGGGTTAAGAGAACTGGGTTGCAGAGGACCCAGGTTCTCAACACCCACACCTTAACACCTCAACCACCACAACTTAAAACTGTGGGGGCTCCAGAGATTCTGTTGCCCTCTGTTGGCATTGCATGTAGATCGTGTGCAGACAATGGAGGCAAAAACACTCATACACATAGAATTAAAATAAATAAATCTTGAACACACACACTTAAGCAACCAGCCAGTAGTGACAAGACATAGGCTGTCTATGGGGTATGAATGTAGTCCTCTCCAATGTTTTAGAAGTGTAGGAACCAAAAGGACTAATGTCGTAGTCATCTTTCCTCAGAATTTCCAGATAACCAATGATGCATTTCCTCATCCCAGATCACCACACTTATATGAAACATATAAAGGTGACAATGAACTGTGGCTCAATCTCAGTCAGTGAACTGAAATTCAGTGCAAAAGGAGTAAGAGATGAGCTGGGAATGTGACTCCACTGGTAGAATGTGTGACATAAGAAGTTCTGGATTCAGTGTCCAGTGGTTCCTAAACTGGGTGTAGTGATGCATAACTGCAATCCTAGCACTCACTCCAGAGGTAAAGGCAGGGGTATCAAAAGTTCAAGGTCATCCTCTGCTAAGTATTCAGTTTAAGGCTAGGCTGGAGCACATAAGAGTCTGTCTCAAATGAAAAGCAAAAGCAAACAAGTGGAGAAGGTGAAAAGTTTGGAATAACTTTCTCTTTTTATTTTGGCATTGGTGAAGGTTTTGGAAGAAAATTAACATCTCTTCCCCCAGCCAACTTCTTTTCCAGTTTGCCTCATTCTGGATTGTGTGGTCACTGTGTCCATGCCTTTTGTTCTCCATCACACTGCCTCTGTCACTCAGTACTTTGCATTTATTATGTTGGTAGCTGCTGTTCATCACAGCCACAGAGTGTATCCCTTCAGTCTCCCCTCAAGTGACTATCAAATGCAAACTTAACTCATCACCACTGATGCTTTAAACGCCTTTTTTTGAGACAGGGTTTCTCTCTGTAGCTCTGACTGTCCTAGAACTTGTGATGTAAACCAGACTTGTCTTGAACTCATAAAGATTCACTTGTCTCTGTCTCCCAAGTGCTGAGATTAAAGATGTGAGCCATGTCCAGCCATACCTTAAATGTCTTAAATTTTTCCTTCACACACAAAAGGCCAAATTTTATACCAGAATATATAAACATTAAAAGACCTTCAATGACCTTGACCCTTAAAACCTCCCATACTCATTCTCACCCTTTCCATCCTCCCTCTTTTCTCCTCCACCTCACATCCAAATGGCAGTCTTTCATGATCCAGTCTCATCATTTTGACTGCTCTTTAATTGATACATGTTTAAAAATGACATGGACTGGATATCCACAAAGACTCCATTCTTAATTTCATGAAGAGGAAAAAGATGAGTTGCATATGTTTTAGTCACTGAAGCAAATATCAATTTAAGTCAAGACAAGGTTAGATTACTGAAAAACACACTCTTAAAAGATGCATCGAGCACTAGGTGGCAGCAGAGATTCACAAGGAAGTGTCCTGCAGGCCCAGCTCCATTCTTGGATAGAGTAGTTTAGAACATAATCCTGAGGTGTTCAGAAGATTGTATGGCAAAACCAGAACATTATGTACTTACAAGTAAGTTAAAGGGAACAGAGACTGGATGCAGGATAACTAGGTTGAACAGCAACAAGTTGGTTGAGGCTGATATATTGATTTCCATCCCTTGGGAGGTTGACTCTGGGTTACCACTGAATTCTGTCCTTGGCCTTGTTCCATTCACTACTACATTATGCTTTATTCATTATTGCAACGATAAGAAAATGAGTTGGGCTTGTGTCAACTGCATCCATTTGGGGAATAAAAGACTGTAGAAAGGGCAGTTAGCTCAACAGCTTTGTATGCAGAAAAGGTGTTTAGTGTAGAAAGTAATGTGTCATCAGTTGAATGGGATCACTGGGGAAACAGATCGGAATGTGGGCACATTGGGATGTTATTTATGAATGATGAAAACTAGAAATAATTGGGATGCAATCCACCCTCCTTCCTTACTCCCATCATTGTGACAGTTTCCGCCAAAGTTCCCTGTTCCCTCTCCTGCTCAATTCATTCTCTTCTGCACTGTTGCTGGGTTGATCTTTTTACAATTCCAACAGATGTCACCACCCTCATTCTAGAACCATTTGGGTGGTTTCCATTTGTCCAGAAGATCACACCCAGGTTCTTCCAGGACAAGCTTATTAAGTTCTTGCACTCCAATATTAGGGCTACCCCCAGCTTTGTCTCCTCATATGTACCACTTTCCCTCAGTATGTTAATGCATGCCTGTGTTATGGTTAATTGTTGTTGTTGATTTTACTGGATTCTAGAACCACTCACGAGGAACACCTCTGGGTGTGCCTATGAGGACACTACCAGAGAGGTTTAACTGAGGAAGACATACTATAAATGTGAGATGGGCACCCAGACTGAATAAAAGGTGGGAGAGAAATAGGAAGGTCTGGTGGGCAGGGGAATCCATCTCTGTCTGCTTCTTGGTTGTGGACTCAATGTGATCAACTCTCTCATACTTTTACTGCCAGGTCATCCCCAACATGGCAGACTGTTCCCTGTCAAAGCAAAACCAAAATAAGTCCCTCCCTCCTCCCTCATTCCTTTCTTCCATTTCTTCTATTGCTTTCATCAGGTATTTGTTGCAGCAACAAGAAAAGTTACTAATGCATCCCAGCACCCTGCTATCATTTCCCATCACCAGTTTCGTGCTTTGCTCCCTTACCTCAGTGTTGAGCTCTTACAGCCCCCTGCTCAGAACACATCTCTCCTTCCTTACTAGGCCTTCTGTCCTCAGTGCATGAGCCCACTCAATGAGTCCTCCTCAGGAATTAACCTCCCTCAGAAAGAAGAGGCCTCACCTCAAGTTATAGCTCCTCTCATAGTCTGTAGGGTCCAACCTGCTTATTTGAGATGCCTCTCCCACTGCAGGGAGCTCCTTGGCTCCAACTTCAGGTAGGGCTGCCAGATTACTTTTAAGTAAGTGCGTTGTGGTATGCTGACTCGAATGTCACAGCCTTTGCTATATTGTGTCTGTGTGCAATCTATATGTGTTAGCTTTTAACTATATAACTTTAAAAATTTATTACCTCACATCTAGTTTGAGCTCTCGGGAAAACATTTAGAAAGCTATCGAGAATCCAGAAAAACAGGACAACTGCAATTGACAGCTTGTTATTCAGGTTCTATGACAATTCCATGGGGCTGAATCTTTGCTATTTCTTGCTAGATCACAGTTTAAAACAAGCAAGATTCACATTGTGCTATCCCAAGTGATAGTTTTCAGTGGAACAATGTCACATGTTATGGGTGGCAAATAAATAAACTAATGCATGTTCAACCATATATTCATCCCAGAACACACAGCTTTACAGATTGGGAGACAGAATGACAGGCTAACAATTCCTAGTGTGGCTTAGACCAGTATCATGGTTTGCTCTAGCTCTAGAAAAATAGTTCCCAGTGTTCTTTTTCCATCCTTTATTCCCCCTCCCCAATTTTTGGCTTGATTTCAAATGGTTCAATTGGGAGAAATCAAGTCCAAAAAGACTTTGTGTGCTTCACCCTGAAGACACTTTCATTAAAGTTTAATGTCTGCTTTTGAAAGCATGGTTTGGTCACTCAGTACTTTTCTTTACGAATGAACAGGAGAGTGATTCATTGGTGGATATGATCACAACAGATGATTCTTTAATCCAAATGCTTCTGCCACTATTATCTATGTGATGTTGAGGAAATTAGTAGATTTCATGGGGTGTTCACTGTGTGCTTGTGAAAAGGGGCAATCATGGGGTTGACATGAAGTTTATACCTTGTCTGATATTGTAGCTTGAATGAGAAATGTCTCCCATTGTTACAAGTATTTCAACACTTGATCCCCAGTTGGTTTTGTTACAGGAAGTTATGGAACTCTTAGGTGGGGCCTTCCTGGGGGAAGTGCATCACTAGAGCCAGCTTTGTTGGTTTATAACCTCACCTTGCTTCCTATTCGCCTTTTTCTTCCTGTGTGCTGATGAAATGTGATCAGCCAATTTCTTGCTCCTGATGCCATGCTTGCCTGTTCCCATACCTTTCCCCATCATGAAGGACTCTATTATATCCTCAAACCATAAGTCAAAATATGCTCTTTCTTCCTGAAGTTGTTTTTGGTCATGATATATTATCACAACAGCAAAAATGTAACTAATAGACCTGGTCATAGTAAGTACTCAGTCAAGTTAATTGCTTATGTTCCTTTTATCATTATGGTTATTACCTCACTATCATCATTATTACCTTCTGTTCCAGGGAGTGGATTCTCGTCTTGTAAAACACATGTACATTTGGTGTTATCCCACAGCATGTCAATAGGACAGAGTTTCTTGGAATGGGAACATCTAGGAAAAGAAAATAATGAGCCATATTTAAATATTTTCAAGGAAATTCTACCTTGGGAATATTAAGTCAGTCTTGATAATTAATATCTAAATATTTAAATATTCTGTGTGAAGCATACTAATACTTTCAAATTTTGTTTCTACAACTGATGCAGAAGAACAAATGTTTGAAAGCACTGTGTCACACAGCATGGCGAGTGCTAAGAAATGACAACTGTGTGAGAACAGTTACAGTTTTCAAGACCTTAACTTTGGAGGCTAGAGAAATGGCTCAGCAGTTTATAGTGATTGTAGTTCTTCTATGGGACCTGAGTTCAGTTCCTAACACCCATGTGGGCTGGCTCACAACCACTTGTAATTCCAGCCCCAAGTGATTCTGACCAATAGACATGCATACATAGACACAAAAGTCAACTAAGTAAAACATAGAGCTTAATTTATATTTATGAATAGTATCTCATTAGTAATTCTATAGTTGTAAAAATTCTATTTGGAATTTTTTTAGAAAGTAAACTGGAATTCAGGAGAGTCATTGCTTGCTCTGGAGTGAAGGGACACATGATAAATGCATTTGACCACTCATGTTAAGAACAACAGTGTTAGGACAATGCGGCAGCACATCTTTAATCCCAGCACTCAAGAGGTAGAGGCAAGTATATAGCTGAGGGTTGAGGCAGCTTGGTCCACATAGTAAGTTTCAGACCAATCAGAGATACAAATTGAGACCTTGCCATAAAAAAGCAAAACCAAGACAAACAATTAAAAATACACACACAATGAAACCATAAAGACATGTGCAAGTAAACATGAAGAGTTTATAACCAAGAAGGTTTGTGGTTCGACTGCAATATAGAACCTAATAAAAATATTTGTCAAGTTCTATGAATAGATCTGGTTTTGAAGCCAAAAATGAAGAATTTTAACGAAGAGATAATTTTGTAATTTTATTTGTATTTTTCTATTTGTTTATTCAACATTTCTATTAATGTATATTGTGAAAAATAATGGGTTTGACCTTCCCTATTCAAGCATGCATAAAATATTCTTTCTTTAGCTTCACCTATACTTTTACCATCTCTTCTCCCTTTTGTCCCCTCCTTATCATCTGCTTCCTTTTCCCTAAAAATTTCCTTTCCACTTTCATGACTTTTTGTTTCTGATGTTCCACAAGATAAAAAACACACAGCACATGTCTTTCTGGGGATGCCTCTATAATGGGTAAAGGAATAAATGAATGTATGCAAAGTTTTGTGAAAAGCAAAAACAAACATTATCAAGTCCAAGAAATGCTTACTGGTCTTCTTCTGGGATCTGAATGGATCTTCTGATAATTGAGTAGGGATGGCGGGGGGCCGTAGGCAAGCACTTACAGCCTGTATGGTTGGCAATTTTCACAGGCACTAACTCAGGCACTGATGTCAGAGGTACTGATATCTCAAAAAGCTACAGCAAAGAGAGAGAACCATGATGTAAATTTTATCACAGTCTGTAATTTTGCCCTTGCCCTTTATGGTAATGACTTTAGCAAATTTATCCATACAGAATGGAGTTATTATAAGAGACTTGGAATGCTGGGAATCTCTTACGTGTGTTCCAAAACTTTTCCTTTCACTATCACTAGAGTTCTTGAAAATGGTACCACTGCTCTCTGCTCTTATTTTAAATCTGAGTATATACTGTAAGGACAAACAAAATTAAGTTCTTGAAGGTCCTTTTACATTTGGGTGGATTTGATAGTTATTTAAACTATGTATTCATCCCTTCCCAAATCATTACTATTATGACAATTTCTTACCTTTTGACTTTGAGCTTGGCTGTGACACTTGTTTTGACCAATAATATGTTAGCTGACATGACATAGTACAATTTGGAGCTGTGCATGCTTTGTGAAATTTATTATTTCCTGATTATGATATAGCCATGATAAGAATATAACCTGGAGGACATTCTGGTCCAAGGGACTGGAGACACAGGAAACAGGCGTGTGTCTGTACTTGGACAGCACCTTGGAGCATTTTGAACCTCAGATACACAAGAAAGAATAATTTATCATCGTTTTAAGCCATTGAGTTTTAGGGCATTTGCTATAAAAGCATTGTACAGCTAAGTTAAGATCATACCCAGAATGATAATTATAGCTAGTGTGTCTATTTCTATGTTTCTATAGACTTGCTCTATTGTAAATAGTTTATTTTTAATTTGTTTATCGCTTATAAAAACATTATATTTGGGAGGCTGGAGAGATGGTGCTGTGCTTAACAGCACTTGCTGCTCCTGCAGAAGACCTGACTTCAAGTGGCTTAGGTAACTTTTGCTTCAGGGAATCTGATACCCTCTTCTGTCCTTCACAGGCATTACACTCATTTGGTAGACAGATACAAATAAAAATTAAGTATTATATTTTAATGATATTTATATGATAAATAGATAAAGAGATGCCCAAAGGGTGTAAAGAAGTGGTTCTGTGAAGTTTAAATGAATTTGAGCTTGATTTTAAGGCATTTCCACTCAATCACCTTTCTATGCAGTTCTATCTACTTTTTTCTAAGAGATAGTTCATCTCGTGGTCTGTACCTTTAAGGTGGGAACTGCCAAACTGCACATGTATGCTTATTTGGAAAGAAAAACTGCAGTGTACTTTCACTTGAAATAAATTCCTTCATTTGTTGAGTGCAGCAGTCAAAACAAAGCAATCAACTATCCACTAAGTGGAAACAATTCATTAATGTTATGTTTATTCAGATCTTTCAACATGTCATGAAACCTCCCTGAGAACAAGTAAGGCTGTTTTTTGCATAAACTTCATGTTCTTGCACAATTCCTCAGCTATGCTCCAAGGAATAACTGAACTCACTTTCTGCAAGCTTGGTCTTACTAACTGTTGATTGAAGCCATACTACCTCGTTGTTTCTAATTATCACATAGTAGGGGTCAGGCACCTTCAGTTCCAATATTCTTCAAAAGGGTTCAGACACAAAATTGATACAGTTTCAAGGGCAGTTTATTTGGTAGGGGTGGGGAACACAATTTAGAAAACTTCAACCTATTAACAAAACAAATGTGTGTTTAGAACATTCCTTGGCACCTATGTAATTGTCTTTTACTACATGATCATGAGGAGACAAGAGAATGTGATGATAAATGAGTTGTAATAACATGTGAGGAATTTGCAATAGAGGACCAAAAGGAATGTGGCTCGGTTTACAGCATTTTAATAATGCTTTCCTAAGTTGGTTACTTTAGTTCCCACATGCAACATTTACTACAGTTTACAAAAAAATAGTAGCCACGGACACTTAGCTACAGGGCAAAGGTGATTTGATTCATTTAATTTATTTCTTTCATGGGCACTACAGGATTATTTCAAAAGTCTCTTGCGCTGCATATTCTCCCTTTGTTCTCCACTCTACTCCAGATATCCTGTTCTCTCTCTTTCCTTCCCTATTAGGCTCTGTACCTGCTGTCACTGCTTCTGTAACTGGCTCCTTTGAGTCTTCCACCATGCTAATGGCTGGCAACTGCCAAGTGAGAAATCCTCTACCATTTTCCCTCCATTCCTATGTCTACTTCCTACTTCAGCCTCTTTAGTTTTAGGGTGAGGGCACCTCCCCCTCTTAGCTGGTTCTTGTTGCATTCTTCCTTCTCTCTTCCTCCAATCTCTTCCACACTCTTCATTCATTCCACATTTCTCAGTCATTCCTTTTAAACTGCATACGCCCAAACAGCAACAAAAACAACACAGCTTCCTTCATTCCTTTTAACACACTGTTCTAGTAATGTCTGAATGTTACAGCATTAGGTAGATAGTAACTAATGAGGTTGCATCATTTGGATATTATGTTACCTCCATGAACCTCAATTTCCTTCTCTGAAAAGGAGGATAAGATATTCTCTCAGTTTTTTAGGGGAATTAAATGAGGTTCCCCACATGAAGTATTTAGCTCAGTGCTTGGTAACAAGGTCAGCAGCGTTGTCTTCATTTCCTAGTACCTGTTTGGAGATGTAGGAGGTGCTTGTGTTCATACACATCACACTCTCTTCATTGCAGCAGCCTCCACACCGGAACACATTCACACAGGGGGGCTTGAAGAATGTGTTGGTTGTCTTTCCCAGCTCACTGGCGACTTCTACGCATGTCTCTCTAGGGATACACTGGGTTCTCTGCCATTCCTCATCTATAACTGCAGGAATAAAGTTCATTGAGGCCAGCAGACATAAATGGTCCAGATACACAACATAGGTATTTCCATGCCCTCCCTCCCACACACATTTTTGTGCTTGTTTATTTTACTAGGTGGGTATTTAGACATTTCTTTTAGAAATGTGTTTATTTATTTTATATGTATGGATGTTTGCCTATATGTATGTATGTGCAAAACATGGGTGGCTAGTGCCTTTGGACGTTAGAAGAAGGCAGTGGATCCCCTGTAATAGAAGTTACAGATAGTTGTGAACCACTATGCAGTAATTGAACCCTGATCCTATGCAAGGGTGACAAGTGGTCTTAACCAACAAACCATCTTTCTAACCCCAGGGGGATATTTTTGTCTTTTAGCCAAAGTTTGCCTGAAAAAAAACCTTAAAACTAAATTATTTATACATTTCCATTGTTGTAACCACTTCATTAAATATTTTATGTCCCCCTGTCAAGCAGCACTATGTCCTGCAAATAGCCACACTTGGGCCACCTGTAAAGGCTGTATAATAAGGCAGTCCATGGACTCATGTGAAAACATAATCTCTGAGTGTCATTTCCCAAGCATTTTAAGGTTACAACTGGATAACATTTCTTCTACTTGAAGCCAGGTAGGAATAGGTTTTAAAAACAGAAATGAATTTCTGTTGTCTGCTTATATAATGGCACTGAGACTTAAACCTGGCAAACACATGAATGGATGTGCCAATATAATTAATTTTTACTCAAATAAGATTTTCCACATTTGGAACCATCCACTCGTTGACAGAAATTGATGAGATAAGCCCTTTAATTTTAATGGAAGTAGCAGCTCGCTGGCCATAGCTAACCTGAGGGAAACCAGAAAAACAGAAATACATCTCTGGCAATAAAAATGGAAATACAGGGTGTTGTGTAATAATCTTTTTGTACAATTTGAAGATGTGTCTTTGTAAAGGCATCTTCTGATTTGTTTAATAAAGAGATGAATGTTCAATAGCTAGACAGGAAGAGGTTAGGCAAAAATTCTGGGCAGAGAGGAGATTAATTTAGGCATACGAGAGATGCCAGAGAACATGGAGAGAAAGCAGGTGATCCAATATGGAAGAGAGGTAAAAAGCCAATAAGCAAAATGTAGATTAATATAAATGGGTTAAGTCTTAAGAGCTAATGGGTCAAGCCTAAGCTATAGGCCAAGTTTCCATAATTACCAAGAACTATCTGCATTGTTATTTGGGGTGGTGGAAATCAAAGTCTATCTACATATGGTGCCCAATATCTGGCCACGTGTATCCACACAAGACCTGAGAAAACTTAAGAAAGGAGAAAAAATCAGAATATAGACTCAAATGCAGTTTTCTGGTGACCACAATCTCTAGGGTAGGCTTGGCAGTGTGCAGAAACTTGGCTACTGGCTGCTACCTGTGGATGTGCTAAGATGATCTGCATGGCAGGTGACATAGCAGTTTAAGATTTTTCTCATATGGTTAGAGAATGCTGTAGATGCTCAGTGAAGACAGATCCAGATGGAGAAAAAGAACTCTGAATAGGTTACTGTGGGTTTTAAAACATGTGTGTATGCTTGAAAAAGAAAAAAAAATTGGTATAGACAGTCATAGAAAAAATGTTTACAATTAATAAGATAAAGTCTTTAAAGAGAGAATAAAATAATATAAAAATAAGCCATGTAAAGGTGGAAAATACATGAAGACTATATATCCTATATGATGTTGTATTGACTTTGTTTTTTTGTTTTTGTTTTTGCTTTTTTTGTTTATTTGTTTGTTTGTTTTTAATGAGCAAAGGACAGTTGCTGGGATTAAACCAGCCTAGATACTTTTGGAATGCCTTAACTTTAAAATGGAAGTAAAAGAAAAATGCATTGCTTTGAAAGAGGTTATGGTTTTTGTTTATACAGAAAAAATAAGGCTGTGGATTCATTCAGGCTTGATAAAGATGAGGTTTGATTGGGGGAGACCTCCTGAAAATCCTGGCTAGAACCATAAAGAAATAAAGCTAGAAAAAGTAAAAGGCGAGTGATGTAAATGTGCCTTCTAAAACATAAAACAAAAAGTCATCTTTGGCTTGCTTGTGTACAATGCACAGTCCATGCTTGTGTTAATCTAGATATGATAATACCTTTGAAAGTTTGTGTGTTTTGAGAGAAAGAGTATCAAACATCAGTGAAAAGGAATGGATCAGGCTTCTCAAATTGCCTCTGTTGCAGTTTCTTTAAAGTTCTGCATCCCGAACAGCTTTAAAGCTGCTGGCTGTAATGGTCTATCCTCATAGACTATTCTAGCCAGGACTACAGATAAGCTTTCCCATTGCACAGAGACTGGACAACAAATATTATGACTAGTTCTCCCAGAACTTGACCATTATGTCAATTTTCTCAGGTTCTCTAAAGGTGCCATCACCCTCAGATAAGGTACACAGTATAGAGAACAAGGTACCCACATTTCCAATAGGTGGGGGTGGGTGGATTTTGGTCATTTGATTGTTTATGGATGTTTGTTATCATTTGGGGGGTTTGGCCACAAATTGTTACTGGTCATGGTCAGGGAGATTATATTCAGGGATCTCCTTCTGAAGGAAAATGGGGATGATTGGAGAAAAGAGTGGATTGTTGAGTCTACTTTTGATCAAAAATTATTCTCAAATTTTATATTGGTGTAGATTTTTGAATATTGGTACAAATTTAAGGTTATTTTTGTTAGAACACACTGTACATATGTTTCTACTCTTGTTTAAGATATTGCACCTATATAGCTCACTTGAAATTTCTAGTCCTTGACAGTTACTATTACAAACTATATAGGATAATAAAAATGCAATTTAGTAATTAGTCACCTATAACAATCATACTTATAGTCATGTTTGATATGTTTTCAAGGTCAAACATTTTAAATAGATGGTCTTCATACACTTCAAAGACCTACAGAATATGGTATTTAACATGATATAAGGCTTTAAGGTTTTTTGTGACAGTAAGACATGTCTGCTCCTGGAAGCACCAATTTACTTCAAAAAAGGATGATGGGTTATCTAAGAACCTCTATATGGAGTTTCTTTCATTTGTAGCAAGGTTAGCCACTGGGCAAAGAAATTTCCCTTGCCTCAACTGCTGACAGAATGCTGTCCAAATTGGACAAGCAAGACACAAAAGAAAACTACTGCTAAACTTTGCCAAACAAGGTATAGCAGTCCTTCAAAATTCCTGCTTCACAGAAAAGTCTGTCAGGTATTTTAGGCTCAAGGCTGATGGTGGATGCCTCAACATTGCAGAGGAAACTTGGGGTGACATCTAGACAGCTAGATGTCTCTGTTGATTCTTAGTTTTGGAAGTTGTTTGCTCTGAACTTTCTGGTTACTCAAGTAATATTTTATTCATCTCACATCTCTGATAGAGTTGAAGATGAGATAGTTATAGTTACACTTTTGTTTGTTACCAAATTCAGAAAAGAAACTCACAAAAGAGGTATAAAATGCATAAGGTTGAGAAACACAAAATCTTAAATTGTTTATCTAGGAAAATGTTTCAAGGTCTAAAAAGATATTTTTAGGTTGGTAACACACGTTATGATAAAAAATAGATTAGGTACAAAACTTTGGACTCACTAAGATAGGACAGATAATACAGTACTTTCTCCAAATTTGCCAAATACACATGTACTAAACATTATGAATGTAATTCTTACTTTAAAATTGTTCCAATTGTATATAGTTTTCCTTTGTTAAAGTCAATACATTCCCTTTTTATTTTGACAATACTTGATAATTGTTCTTATTGTGTATAGTATTACAGTGTTAGAATTAAAGCCTTTCTTTTTTATTTAGGAAAAAAAGGCGGAAATGTTGTCGAATAATATTTTTGTACACTGTGAAGATGTCTTTTCCAAGGTTCCTTCTGCCTGGTTTAATAAAGAGCTAAATGGCCAATAGCTGGGCAGGAAGAGGTTGGATGGGACTCTGGGCAGAGAGAGAGAGAGAGAGAGAGAGAGAGAGAGAGAGAGAGAGAGAGAGAGAGAAGAGAGAGAGAGGAGATTAATTGAATCATGGAAGAGATGCTAGAGGACACAGAGAGGAAACAGGAGGTACAAGAAGGAAAGGTTAAAAAAAATGTCATGAGGCAAAATGTAGATTAATATAAATGGGTTAATTTAAGTTATAAGAGATAATATGAGAAATGTTAATCTATGGCAGAGTTTTTATAATTAAGAGAAAGTCTCTGTATTATTATTTGTGTCTGGCTATAAGGAGTAAGGTTTATCCTCCCGCCACCAGTCTTGTCCCGCCGCCGCACCAGCCCCAATTAATGCACAGAGACTCTGTATTTGATATAATGCTGTTGGCCAGTTACTTGTTTCTTATCGGCTAGCTCTGTCTTAAGTATTAACCCATTTCTGTTATTCTAATATTTTCACGTGGTCTTATCTTACCAGCGAGAGGCAGCTGGCAGTTCAGCTCTCTCCAGACTCTCCATCTTGACCCTCCTTACTATTTCTTCTTTCCTCCTTGTCTCCTAGTCCCCGGTAAGATAAGACCATGTATAAATACATAGAAATAGGTTAATACTTAAGACAGATCTAGCTGATAAGAAACAAGTAACTGGCCAATAGCATTATATCAAATACAGAGTCTAAGTGTGTTATTTGGGGCTAGCCCGGCAGCGGGACCAGACCGGCGGCCAGGCGGTGTGTGTGTGTGGGGGAAACCTTACTCCTTACAGCTGGCAGTAGAAAAGAAAGCCTGTCTAAAATAGGGTTAGGGAGATTGCTGGGTGGGGAAAATGCTGGCTGCACAAGTGCAAGGACCTTAGTTCAGATCCCCAGAACCCACATAAAAATCTGGGCACCATGATGTACTCCTGTAATCTTTGTGCTAGGAAGGCAGAGAGATAGGTGGATCTTTGGGGCTTGTTGACCAGCCAGGCCAGTCAAATCAGTGAGCTTCAGTTCCAATGAGAGACATTATTTCAAAAACTAATTTGGAAAGTGAATTAAGAAGATGCTCAACATTGATCTCTGGCTTCCACATATACATACAGATATGGACATATCTACCTATGTGCACATGTGAGCACATACATGTACCACACATATGCTTGAAAAGAATATTACATATTTTTCTTATATAGCTGTTTCATTTTCTCTCACCTTTTTTGAGACATAGTCTCACTTTGTAGTCCTGGCTAGCCTAGAATTTGTCATGTAGACCAGGCTGTGGCCTTCAACTCAGAGAGCTCCACCTGCCTCTGCCTTCTGGGTGTTGGAATTAAAGGAGTGCGTCACCATACCTGGCTTTCATCATTAAAAATATTTATTTTATTTTTAGGTGTGTGTGTGTGTGTGTGTGTGTGTGTGTGTGTGTGTGTGTGTGTGTGTGTGTGTGGCAGAGAGAGAGAAAGAAGGGGGTAAGGAGGAAGAGAGAGCAGGTGCTTGCAGATATCACAGGCATCAGATTCCCTAAAGCTGCAGTTAAAGGCAGTTGTAAGCTGACTGATGTGGGTGCTGGGAACACAATTCAGGTCCTCTACAAGAGCAGTACCTACTCTTAGCTGGTGATCTCTTTCCAGCCACACTCTCATCATTTTGTAAGTTAGATTTTGACACTATGTTGTGTACAGCTTCTCTTCGGTTTTTGTTTTCTTTCTTTCTGTATTTTTCTTTTTTCTTTCTTTCTTTTCCTTTTTCTTTTTTTTTTTTTGGGGAGGGGGTAAAGGCTTGCTTTCAGTTTGTCATAGACAGAACTGCAGACCATGTTATAGTAGGAATGCATTGAAACCCTTTTGTAGTAGGCAGCCTTAAAAATGACCCCTAGTAATCTCTAGTTCCTGGAGATCATGTCCTGTGCAATCTCCCATCTTTTTATGTGATGATGGAACTGAGCGATTTGACTTTTGTGAAGCGAGTACAGAGAGTACAGTAAAACAGGATGCCACTTAGGTGCTTAGGTTGAAAAAATTCTCTGACTCTGCTTCTCTCCATTTCTCTTTATTCTCTCTTATTCCCCACCTACCCACTTCCTTCTCTCCTACCCCACCTGTCTTTAGCCTCCCTCATTCTCTACACTTAAAAAACAAAAGGTTTTCTTATTTTAAATTATGTGTATATGTGTGGAGGGAGATGTGTATGTATGTGGGGGTGGAGTGCACATGAAGGCAGTGCACTGAGCAACCAGAAAAGTGTGACAAATGTCCCCTGGATCTGGAGTTATGAATGGCTGTGAGTTCACCCTACTACATAAGTAGTAGGAAACAAACTTTGCAAGAGCAGCATGTACTCTTAATCTCCAAGCCACTTGTCCAGCCTAGAAGCCATTTTTGAAGGTACCTCCAACTGAGAGCAGCCACTGGCCAACAGCCAGTGAGGAAAGGGACCCTTCGTAGTCCAAGAGCCTGTGTGGAACTTAATCCTACAAACAAACACTGAATGATCATCATGCCCTAGTTGAACCCTAAGATGCTTGGAGCCCAGATGAAGACCTTGACTGTAGCCTTTAGAGAGACCTTGAATTAGAAACAAAAACTTGGCCATGCCTGTATTTCAGATCTCCAAAAATATGAAACTAAATATATCTGTTTTACAAGTGGGGCAGCACCTGAAGAATGAAATCCTAGGTTGTCACTGGCCTCCACAACCACATGCACACATATACACATGTACACCTGCACATGTACCTCTGTTGGAAGCAACCAATTGGGGTAATATAAAGTAACAGGCAAACATTTCTGTACACTCTCTTTAAAAATATGTATTGATGTGTGTGGTGGTGTGAAAAAAAATGTCCTCCAAGGGGACTGGCACTATTAGGAGGTGTGGCCTCGTTGGAGTAGATGTGGTCTTGTTGGAGGAAGTGTGTCACTGTGGAGGTGGGCATTGAGGTCTCCTATATATTCAAACAACGCCCAGTGAGACAGACCACTTCCTGTTACCTGTGAGTCAAGATGTAAGAACTCTCAGCTCCTTCTCTAGCACCATGTCTGCTTGCATGCTGCCTTGCTTCCTGCTGTGAAGATAACGGATTAAATCTCTGAACTATATGTGAGATACCACAATTAAATGTTTGCCTTTATAAGAGTTGCTATGGTCATGGTCTCTCTTCACAGCACTAGAAACCCTAATTAAGACAATGTCCCCAGAGAGATGGCTCATAAGAATACCAGCTGCTCCTTCTGAGGACCCACAATTAGTTTCCAGCATCCATATGGTAGCTCACATCTCTAACACTAGTTCCAGTAGATCTGATGCCTTCTTCTGGCCTCCATGGGTACTGTACACATTTGGTGCACAGACATACATGCTGGCAAAACACTAATATATACACAGAATATAAAGTTAGTATTTTTAAATTTCTGATGATAAAAATTTATGTAAAGCATCCATAGGCTGTATGGAGGAGACACAAATTGTTTAATTAAGCTTTACTGGGGGTGCCATTTAAATTGGTGTTATTAGTCATGAATCGTTGAAGGAGAGTAACTGACTTATGAAAATATTCTTTGTTGAAAATGCTACTTAAATGTTACTTTCTACTTGCTTTTTCTCTTTAAACTTCTAGCTTCAAAGTTGGGCAAGATTATAATTAAAATCTCATGCAGTTATGACCAAATGCCACTGCCAAAGTTTTCATAAGGCCAATGTTCTTTCCTTCTTCCCAGGGAATTACCCTAAAATCCATGACAGGTAGTAGATAACAAAACATAATTGGTGTGACACATTTATTTGATTATCTAATGCTTCTAACTTAGTGAATAACTTCAGTTAATCCTCCATAGAATTAGGAGGGAAACTGTGGAGGCTGCAAATTCTCTAATTTTTTATGGTTTCCTCTTTAGGAAATGTCAACCTGGCTGACTTTTAAAAATCACTGCCTTGTGGTTTTATGGTGAAATTGTCTTTACAGGTCATCTGTACATGCGCCTCAGGTGCAGGTAATCTGGGCAAAGCCTGTGTTCTTAGGTGCAGTTGTTTTTGTGAAATTACCACATGGATGAACATCTAGATACTCACTTAGACCCACAGTCCTACACATGAGCACAAAGATCCTTCTTCACACTTCTACTGCAGTGGGATTCCCACCATCTACATACCACTTTCCCCATAACTGGATCATGTGCAATCCATTCCTTAACCCATGGAAAAAAAGACAAGTCTAGGTAGAAAGAAAAGAACAGTTTTTGCTTAAGGATCAACTGAAATTAAACAGTGGATATACTCAGGTACTATGCAAACATGTTTGTATCTATTAAGGCTAAATGTAACAATGGCACTGTTTTCTTCAGTTGTTTTGATATTTCATCAGTGAGCTAAAGGTCACATAACTTTAAAAATATTTCATTCATTGTGGCTCAACATGTATAAACAGTCTTGTAAGACTCTACTTCTCAATTTGGCTATCATTAAAGTGGCATAAGTAGACACCACACATTCATCTCCACACCTATCTCAGGAATCAATTTGGAAATATAATGAATGGTCCCTTGATATCTGTGGAGGATTGGTTCCAGGATACCTTACATATACCAAAATCCTTGGGTTATCAAGTTCCTTATATAAATGGACTAGAATTTATAAATAGCCCGCCAACATCTTCCTGTTCACTTGAAATTACGTTCAGATCACTTCTGGTAACAAATAAAATAGACATATGCCATACAAGTAGATGTTATAGTATATTGTATGTCAAGAAAATGTCTGTATATGCTCAGCACACATGCATGTACCTGAAATATTTGACCTGTGTGATTGGTTGTACCTATGGGGGTGGTGGTAGGGCAGAAACTGAGGATACAGAAAGCTGACTGTACCTTATTTTCTAGTCCTAACCTTTCATTATTTTGTGTCAAGAAAATTCTTCATTATTCTCTGAGAAACCAGTACCCATTATTGTACCTCACCTTTCAGTTTCTGCCTTTGCTTTTACATAAAACCACAGGATTTGAAGAAAGCTAGAGCTAAATTTTTGGTTCTCTCTATCTTGGTGAATACTGAAATTGTTTTTTTTTTTTTTTTTTTTTTTTTTTTTTTTTTGTAAACCTGTTTTCTTTCACTCTAAAAGCATTTTTCCTTTATTGCTTTCCCCTCAGATTTCCGAGTTTAAGTTTTTTGAGATGTTCTTGTGTTGGATGTAGATATCAAAATCATATTGGATATTATTCTTTGTAGAGTAGACATTTAAAAACAAGAATTTTTGACCTGACAAGATGGTTCACTTGGTAAAAGTGCTTGCTGCTGAAGACCTGTGTTCTATTCCTGAGCCTCACAAGGTGGAAGGAGAGAATTGACTCTCACAAATACTTAATTATTTAAATTTTTTATTGCTTCTATTTATTTATGGAGGGAGCTCATGTGGCTATCTGAGAACCGCTCTCAACTTTATTCAGTGGATCATCTTATCATCAAGTCAAACACTCTGTTTTTCCCCCCTCTAATACATAACCACCCTGTTGAAACTTTTGGAAGAAATTAGTATGTGTGTCGCTAACCAATAAGGAAATAATCTATTTCACTCCCACACCTACCTCTCAGTGTTTCAGTGTCATAAAAAGTTGCTGCAAATCTAGTGGAGCGATGGGATGTTGATCGAGAGTCCATGCTGGCAAGACCTTTGAGCTTCAGCCGGCATCTCCACAGCTTCCAGTCCTCAGAGTGTGCGATTTGCAGTAGCTCCTCCAAACTAGAAGCAGCTCTGATCTGTTGTTCAGATCGTTCCAACATTGACTGGGATGATCGTTCAAAAGAAAAATCCTAGTTTAGGAGTGAGGTACAAAAGATATCTCTATAACTGTGGTTGCTAACAGTTTAAACCATCTGAAAAGAAACTAGAGAAGATTATTCAAATGTGCACCTGTGCCTAGGAAAAACAGTGTCTAATGGTGAACTTCAAAATGATAGGTCTACTTCTTTACTTCCAGAGCCTGTGCACATGGTCTCATTCAGGACAAATGCATATGTAATGGAGGTAAAGTCTTTGCTCTGTTCCTCACATGAACTCAAAGTACCCTGACCGAGGTCCTCAGAAACCAGGAGAAGACAGATACAGCAGGGCCATGTGATGACAGAGGTGGAGATGAGACTATAACTCAGGGATAGCTTCGAGCCATCTGAAGTAGACAAGGCAATGGTTCATGCCAAGAGAGTTTGACACCTTGATTTTTGGGATTTTGTTGTTCTGAGACACCAGATTTATGGTACTTTGCTATTGCAGTCACAGAAAAACAGTAGAGATTCTTTCATTATACTACTTTTGTGACAACAGCACCATTTCCTAGTTTAAGCTGAAGTCTTGCTGTTTCTCTATAGTTGCTTCTGAATTGTATTGTCAAATACAATTAGACTAAATTAGTATATTCGTGGTGGGAGAGCCCAAGGAAAGATTTTCAATATGTAACTTCTTGTTCAAAAGTAGGAGTTGGTTATATGAAATAATGATACATACATACATACACTATGCAACCATCAAAACCAATGAAGCCCATTTCCTACTAGAGTGTTTTCCCCCAGCACTGGGGATCAGTCTTTGGACCTTAAGCATGCTAGATAGGCATTTTGCCAACTGAATTATCTCCCCAGTTCTGGAGCTGAGTTCTTGATGGCTTTCTCTCTCAGACTCACATGTATCCTGCACCTTTGACTTTAGGGTTCCATAATTCATCAGCATTTAAATTGCTTTTCATGTTTGTTTGCTATTGTTTTATTAACTATTCATAGTCTATGAACTATAAAATGTCAAAGTATGTATCTTCAAGGTCATGTATTTTGTTGTTGTTGTTATTTTTATTTTGAGGCAAAGTCTCATTGTGTAGCCAGGTTGGTCTGGAAATTGGGATCCTCCTGCCTCAGCTTCCACAGTCCTGATATCTCAGGCTTGTGTGATGATACCTGGCTAAATTCACCTTAGCCATTTTACCTAGGAGTCCAGATGGAAGTATACACATGAACACATATGCACATTTTTGCCAGAGGTAGGAGAGAATTAAATATGTTTGTAAGCTGGGGAAAAGAACCAACAAAGAAGAAAGTGAAAGAATATGCAGGGGAGATAAAGCAGACTATAAGGCATGGTATATAGTGTATTAGTTGGTCAATATCTTTGAAGACCACCATTTGAAACAGGTGAGCCATAGGGAGTCCCGTGGTCTGTAGAGAGCAAGGCTGCCTCAGAAGCTCAATGAGATTATACTGGTGGTCTCTCACATATCTCTGGAGTTTGAAACAAAGACATTTCTGGCAAGGAAGCTCTGTGAACTTGGCACTGAACTTGCGTGGCATTCCACAGTTTCTTTAGCTGAGAACTCTGGTGACAAAACTGGTACATTGCTCATTTCCCTGATAACTCTTAAATGCGGTAGACCTACATTGAGGCTAATTTGTTAATGGCTTCTCTTTGCCTGATCATTCATCTCCTCTTTCTAGTTCTACAGAAAAGCCACCTCATATCTGAGTCAATCTTCAAGATAAAATGTTTTGACAACACCACTTCAATAAGCTAATGAGGAGGCCTAACAAATGCTTTTAAAAAGATTATTAAATTGAGCTTTGTGGGTTTTGTGTATGTGTGTGTTGTGTGTCTATGTGCACATGTGCATGCTCGTGAATGCTGTTTGTGTGTACAACAATAATTATAGAAGAGGTTGTGAATTTGAGAAGGAGCAGGAGAGAGACACAAGAGGAATTGGACAGGGAAAAGGAGGCATGGAAATGATATAAGTACTTGGGCATGAGCCCCTTTAATATTTTAATTAAAAAGTACTAAATTGCACAATTCTGAAAGAATTTTCATTTAGGGAGGTAAAATTTCATCCAATACCATCCCTAACTAAGGCTGAGGTATGGTTTCATCTTTGTACAAGTCTCAATTCAATATTGGCTTCTTTAAAACTCCTATGATTAAAAAAAACAGGATAAAAATTAATCCTGCAGCCTGAATTAAAATGATTGGATGATGTTAAGATTGCATAGCTCCTATGACTGGTTTCTTTGGAAAACATACTAAAAGCTGTTTAAGCATACTCTGCTAGATGAAAACCTAGTTTAAAGTAGCTGAGGAATTGGCAACAGTAATTTTTATAATTTTAAATGGAAATACAACTCAACAAAAGCAAGTAATTCATTTGAGCACACATTTGAAAACAGATCCCTTTCCAATTAGCATTCTACTCTCTTTGATTTTGATTTTCTTGGGTAGGACGAAGCTAAACATCAAAAAGTGTGACCATCATCCCAAATGTATACTTAATCCCTTGATTTCCATAGTTTTCACTGTCACATTACTGCCAAATGAGTTGTTCTTTATTTCTTCCAATTTTCTAACACAAGGTCTAATAAAATCCAAAATAATTATAATGCAATCTGCAAGATGAGAGGATGGGAAAGGCCTTCATGTGCCTCAGCCTATTAGAGTGGCAGCCTTGGTTCTGTCATTAATTCAAGACCATTAGCAATTCTCTTCCTAAATAACAAGTTGTTCTCTGATGATTTTTAGCTATGAACAATCAATTTATAAAAGCACGGGCTGAAGGTCTCTGCAATATTACTTTGTCATCATAGAAATGTTACTATATGTGTAGACTAGCTTTTTCCCACATACAGTTGCTTTCCTAACAGGCTACCAAGCAATGGCCACACTGTTGGTTGGCTTATTCCCCCTTGAGAAGGATTAGGAACAGAGGTTTCCAGAGTTGCATTTACCTGCAATGCATGTGGGGGAAAGCTTTAAGAAAACATACTGATGATTGGATCTTATCATCAGAAAGTCCCACTTACAGGTTTGGACCACAAGTTCAAAAGGAAAAAAAAAGTTCTGTGTTTGCTTCAGTAGCAGCTGAGTGAAAGGGTTTGTAGCAACTCATTGTATGTCTTTGTAACTTTTCCATAAAGTTAGAATTACTTCAAAATAAAAAGCATTCTTTAAAACTCCTTAGTGGCTGGTGATGTAGTCCAGTTGGTAGTCTTCTTGTCTGAATTCATGGAGCTGCACAAACCTGGTATGATGGTACACACCAGTAACCCCACAACCTTGAAAGTAGAACCAGCTGTATCAGAAGTTCAAGGTCATTCTCTGATATGTACTGAGTGAGTCCGGACTATGTGAGACTTTGCCTGAAAATAATGAAAAATAAGTCTTCCCAAGTGGTTTTGAAGAGAGTCAGTTTTGGAGCATGGCAATACTGATTTAAGTTCAGAGACCTGGGTTAATGTCCAAGCAGTGTACAAGAACCCTGATTAGCTGGCACATGTTAAGAATTTGACCCAATCTTCCAATTCCTTTGTATTATACCTTATGATCCGAATATGTACATGATTATCTGGCTAAACTGGAGTTTTAAAGCCAGCTCCTTGCTCACAAGCCCTGTCTGTTGAGTGTATGATATGTATTGCCTTCAAAAGCTCAACTTAAATAAAGCCGGTGGGCATTCCATGCGTGCAAATTCTACTCTTTTTTTTTTTCCAGTTCTCAACTTGTATGGCTTTTAAAAGACTAAATAACAGTGACATCATTTCCTCACTTAAACAGTGTGATGAAGTTAACTGTCATCTTAAATGACAGACTAAATTGCCTCTCAAATTTCTCCAAATTCCAAACAGCCCATTTCTCAAGATAAATTTAAAAAGGCATTGCCTTAATCCACTATAATTCAACAGAAAGCTATACATTCTCTCAAAAGGGCATTCCTATAAAATATCTCAAGGAAAATATAAATGTCAATTGGAAGAATATTTGCTTAGAGGCATGTAGCTGAGCCTCTGTTCCAGCTCTGGGTTGTCAATAGTATCTACAAAGAATTGATCCATGAACATCTTGGCTGCTTTCCTCAAAGAGCTGCAGAATGCTTTTCCTGCACCATTCTGGACCTGAGCTCTTAAGACCCTCATGTTGCAGATATGGAAACAGAGGGCAGCTTTGCTGAACTCTTCATTGGGCCTCTTGAGAGCCATGAGGGTTAGACTATGATTGCTATTTTCTTTGTGGAACTGCACCATCTTCAGGAATTCGGGTGATAACATCTGCTTGGAGAATCAGGTTTATGAAAGCTGAATGTCCCAGAAGTCTGGGCTAAGTTATGGTGGAAACACATTTTGCACATTGTTCCCTAGATTTGCTGAAGGAACTAGAAATATTACCTGCTAAGCCATCTCTGCAGTTGAAGAAAACCTATTTTCCTTTTTGCCTTTGCAGTGGGTTTGGGGAGATAAATTACAAAATGTTCTGTCTTCCTTCCACTTCTTAGCAATTTCTTTGGTTTCTCTCAAGGTGCATTTGCATTTCATCTTTACCTTCATGGTTAAGTATTAGCCTAATTCACCACACTTTTCCTGATTTGATATGCCTGTAGCATTGTTGTCCTTCCTAAGGGTCTTTATCCCTCCATCTACCAAGAAATCTGCCTAGGCTACATCAGACTCACAAGTCTAAGTGAGTATCTGAGATGCCCCCAAACCCCCTCTTTTAAGTGGAAATCATATTACCCTAAAAGAAGTTATGTCTAATATCATAAATTATACTGCTGACTACTGGAATGGCTTGTTTTAAAGGCAAGAGCACAGATCCCATTTTTTTCAAAACAAGCTTTGTGTGATATGACACTCTGGAAGTTTCTTATAAACATGTGCCCATCCTATGGCTAAGTAACCCTACTCTAGAGAAGTTATCACTTGATAACTGAAGCCTACACTGCACAAAACTCTATACATGAATGTTTGTAGTATTTTTTTTTTAAATCATAGTCAAAACAGTTGAAAAAAAA